ACCTCCGTTTACGACGAGAAAGACGCTCGACAAGGTGGACAAGGCCGCCGAGACGCTGCTCAGCGTCAAGTACCAGGCCGCCTGGCCCGAGAGCTTCAACGTCTTCGGCGCCATGTTCGACACGCTCCGCTGGCGCGCCGACCCGGCCATGCTGACCATCCTCCGCGCTGTCGGCGACCTCCGCAGCAACGACTCGTTCGGCGGCAAGAAGGAGGCCGACGACGTCATCGGCCGCGCCATCCGCGCCGTCGGCCCCGACGCCGTCCTCGCCGTCCTGCCCCTGAACCTCGCCACCCCCGCCAAGGGCCAGCCCGGCCGCGCCTGGATGTTCCCCCTGCTGCGCGACTACGTCAGCAACACCAACCTCGCCCACTTCCGCGCCGAGATGGTGCCCCTCAGCGAGCTCATGTTCCAGCGCGTCCTCGACCACGGCGACGCCGCCAAGACGATGGAGGTCAAGATCTACGAGACGCTCGTCCAGCAGATCTGGGCCACGCTGCCCGGCTACTGCGACCTGCCCCTCGACCTCGCCGCCGCCTTTGACCAGACCTTTGCCGAGCTGCTCGCCAACCTGCTGTACAAGCAGGTCGAGCTGCGCCTCGAGGTCTGCCGCGCCCTCAAGACCCTCATCGAGTCCAACCAGGCCATCGCCGAGCTCGAGGACGCCGCCGACGACATGGTCCGCCAGAGCCGCGTGCCCCGCGAGACGGCCCGCGCCAACCTCGCCTACCTCGGCACCTACGCCGGCAACATGCTCGCCGTGCTCTTCAACGTCTACACCCAGACCCTGCCCCAGAGCCGCGGCCCCATCCTGCTGTCGATCAACGCCTTCCTCAGCATCACCCCCGCCGCCGAGCTCCGCGACACCTTTGACCGCGTCAGCGCCATGCTCGCCGCCGAGCTGCAGAACAAGGCACCCGAGGTCGCCGCCGACAAGGGCGCCGCGCCGCCGCAGAAGAAGCAAGGCCAGGACCAGCCGCCCTCGACGACCAACACGCTCATGGACCTCATCATCACCATGTCCGTCTATCTGCCGCGCGACAGCTTCGCCGCCCTCTTCGACATGGCCTCGGTCACCATTGTCCGCCAGGACCAGCCGCAGCTGCAGAAGAAGGCCTACAAGCTGATCCCGCGCCTCGCCGAGTCCGAGACGGGGCCGCGCCGCCCTCGCCGAGCGCACGTCGGAGCTGCAGGCCATGTTCATCGCCAGCGCCGACAAGGTGTCGGCGCCGGCCCGTCGCGAGCGTCTCGCCGCGCTCTCGCGCTGCTGCCGTTCGTCCCCGACACGTCGCTGCACTTTATCCCGTCGATCCTCAGCGAGGTCGTCATCTGCTGCAAGGAGAACAACGAGCGCGCGCGTGAGGCCGCCTACGGCCTCCTCGTCGGAATGGGCGAGCGCATGGCCGCCGCCGACGGCGCCGCCATTGACAACGCCAAGGTGCCGCACATGCCCCGCGACGCCCCCGCCGGCACCGCCAACATTGAGGAGTACCTCACCATGGTGTCGGCCGGTCTCGTCGGCAGCACACCGCACATGATCTCGGCCTCGGTCACGGCGCTGAGCCGCGTCCTGTACGAGTTCCGCCCGCTGCTCAACCAGCAGACGCTCGCCGATCTCGTGGCGACCATGGACCTCTTCCTGACGTCCAACAACCGCGAGATTGTCAAGTCGGTGCTCGGCTTTGTCAAGATTTGCGTCGTCGGCCTGCCGACCGACATGATGATCCCGCGCCTGCAGACGCTGACGCCGAACCTCATCATCTGGTCGCACGAGCACAAGGGCCACTTCAAGAGCAGGGTCAAGCACATTCTCGAGCGCATGGTGCGCCGCTTCGGCTTTGACCTCGTCAACCGGTACTGCCCCGAGGACGACCGCAAGCTGCTGGCCAACATTCGCAAGACCAAGGCGCGCAACAAGCGCAAGAAGGACGCGGCGCGCGAGGCCGCCGGCGACGACGCCGACAGCGACGACGAGCAGGCCGGCGGCAAGCACACACGCAAGTTCGACAACGAGTACGACGAGGCGCTGTACAGCAGCGACTCGGACGACGACGGCCCCTCGGACGACAACGACGACGACGACGGCGGCAGCAGCCGGTTCGCGCGTGGCGCCAACGCGCGCAAGGTCAAGGGACGGGGGCAGCGCCTACATTGGTCGAGACGAGGACGAGTCTGCTCGACCTGCTCGACCGCAACGCGCTCGCAGCATCTTCGTCGATCAGCCGGTCAAGGC